GATTCTAGATACTCATATACAGTGAGACCAAAGAAAATACTTTTAAGAGAAAAACAGAAAAATTATATGAAGTAATATACATACTGGAACAAACTCCAAGATATGGGAAAAAAAGAATGTTTTTATTTTTTAATTAAGTAATAAATTTTAGTTTTGATTATTCTGTCTTCTTTACCTCATGTATGGTGTATTCACATGTATATCTTTGGGAGGGTGTGGGGGAGAGCACAGAACTCAAAAGAGGAAGTGTGAAAAGTGCAGTGGTGGAGCTAACTAGACACTGATAAAAGTGAACTATACAACTCATGTATGGAGATGGGAGGGAGGGACTGGAGAGAGAGAGGGAACAGAAGACACTGTATGAAAGGAAATGTACTCATTACCTGACTCATGTAATGGTAACTCCTCTGTTCCTTACCTCTATAATAACAATAATGTAAATTAATTAAAAATAAACTTTGAGCAGATAATCAACATAACTCACATACATTACCCATACACAATGTGCCACCTTAAATTTCAGTGCTTTTGATAAAAATAGGTATACAATAATTATTAATATAGAAATATGGAGGACAACTCAGGACCCTACAATGAGTCTCAAACAGGAACTACAAAACTCCACAGAGCTCCAGCATGGACAAGACTTGTAGGATGTGAGCATGGTATTTATGCACTGTGCACTTCAGTTTTCTCATCTGTTAAATGGGATTATAGCAAACATTACAGGGTTGTTATGAAGAGTAATTATATTGTCATATGTGAAGCACTTCAAGTGGAACCACTCAATCACTTGTAGGCCCTTAATTTATTATTTTGTTGTTTTATCTTTTACTCAAATACATCAGGAACTGAAGCTTCAATTGCACACATAAAGTCAAGGTTGACTACATAAGTAAAGATTAAAACAAAGAAGAAAAATAACCATATGCCATCTGATCTGTGTTTCATTATTACACTTAAGTAATTAATGAAAGATTTGAGTGCAAAATTTATTAGTTGTGAAACAAAGTTACCAAAAGAAAACTAATGTGATCACAAAAAAAGAAGTCTAAAGTATAATCATATGCCCCCAAACAGTGTTTCTGTCAGCAATAGACAATGTATCCGATGGTTGTCTGTAAGATTTTCTTGTGAAGTGACATCATCATCACCATCATCATCATCATCATCATCATCATCATCATCATCATCATCATATTAGCTTGTGTGAGTAGATTCTGCTGTTCACTAAGACAAAGTTACCTAGCCTAAAAGAAAAGTTCCTCACCCCCGAGGACTACAGGATGGCAAATCCAAAGTAAAATCAGTCCTTATCACTGTTTCTGTTAGATAATAGCCAGAGAAGTTTTCAGCAGTTTACTTCTTTAAAAACTCACTAACACATAGGCAGAAAAGTTGTCCTTTACACTTCAATTCAGTGTAGCTTTATTACGCTGAAATGAACTGAGTTGCAGAGACACCTGGGAGCATAAATGACTGAGAAATGTTATGGATGCTAGATTGAGTATATTGAAAGACAAAGATGAAGGCTAATTGTTTACCTTCAGTGCTAAACTGGCATTCCAATGGAAAAAGAGAAAAAGGGTTACTCTGAATCAAATGATAAAATTTATTTCTTAGATAATATAATGACTTATTTAAAAGAGTTAACCTGTAATAGGTTTATTAAATTAAGCTATAAAGTTTCATTTCGTTGAACAACCTATTGTCAAAATCTACTGCTAACTTCATTTACAACCAAATTAAATGAAGAAACTATTTCTTCAAAGTTGAATGTGAGTGCTTGCTGTTTTGTTAGAAGTTGAAAATGGCATGTCAATAGATCTGGCTAGGATCAGACCCCTTAAGCCTGTTTTAATTATGGGTTCTTTGCTGCTTCTATTTTATAGTAATTCATGACTGACATTCAGACATTCATAGTAATTTTTTACCTATGTAATTTTTACATAAGGGTCTCCTCAAAATGACCTTAAGATGAAAGTCTCTAGGCATAATTATAGAGAGGAAAGAACTCCTGGCCTAGAATGAGTTGATAGGTTCCAGGAACATCTCATTTTCAAATTCTCCACTGAAGCACTGTGGCAGTTTCTCCAGGCTTGAGAAGGTGCAGGAGGGGTGGGCGCCAACATGATCACGTACACTGCACGTGTCCGTTCCCACTACTGTGTATCTGGAAACACTAGGAATCACGTCTGATAAACCACATACTTCTCCTTGGAGACCTGAACCCTCAATCTGCCTTTGCCACCATACTTTCTTGAGAATTGTTTGCCTGTGGCTAGATATCATGTATCAAAGAGGACATGAATATTTACTATGCATTATTACTTTTGTGAAGGTAAAAACTGATTGACAGCAGGTTCTACTTTCCATAGATGCAGGTTTAAATCATGAGCTTTGATAAAGTGAAGCTAAATTCAGAGAGATTTATTAAAACTAAACTTGCTCTGATTGTGTGTTGTGTGTTGAGGTATACTGGTACTGGGGCTTGAACTCAGGGCCTGGGCTCTATCCCTTACCTTTTTCACCTGAGACTGACATTCTACCACTTGAGCCCACAACTCCACTCCCAGACTTTGCATAGTTAATTGGAGATCGAGTATCAGACTTTGTCATCTGGGCTTGTTTTGAACTACAATCCTTAGATCTTATCCCCCTAAATAGCAATGATAATGGGTGTAAACCACTGGCACCCAGCTATCTTTCTGGAATTTTAAAATGTCATTTTTCTCCAGTATTTTATGCCCTATCAATAATTCTTACCAACAATATTGCTTCCACAGTAAATGATATGTCTTACATTATATAAGCAAACTATTTTTTATGTTTTTTAATTGTAAAAATACTATACAGAAGGTTACAGCTACATGAGTAAGGTAATGAGTACATTTTCTATCTAGCATTGTTACCTCCTCCTTTGTTTTTTTCCCTACCATCCCTTCCCTTCCCACCCTCACCAACTCCTACCTCCCCCGCCCCAAGTTGTAAAGTTCATTTTCAACATATTGTCTTGTACATCTCATTGTTACAATGGGTCAACCTGTATCTTTATTTCAGCATTTTGTTTTTTCCCTTCCCCTCCCAAATTATAAAAATATATATACAAGATACAGGGTACTGACATCAAAAACAGTGAAAACAGGGGTCATACCATGGGAGAAAAACATACAAAAGAAACAAAAAAATCACATAGCACATTATAAATACGTTAGAAACAATAGCAAGAAAGAAAAAAACCAGTTGTGTCCCTATCTTGGGGTTCATTTCACTCAACATCATCTTTTTTTTTATTTTTTTTTATTGTGAAAATACTGTATAGAGGGGTTACAATTACATGGGCAAGATAGTGAGTACATTTCTTATCAAGCATTGCAGCCTCCTCCTTTGTTTACCCTTCCCATCCCTTCCCATCCTCCCCCCCCACCCAATCCTCCCCCGCCCCAAGTTGTAAAGTTCGTTTTTGACATGACAACTTGTACTTCTCATTGTTACAACAGGTCCACCTGTATCCACCTGTATCCTTGTTTAAACGACTTGTTTTTCCCCTTCCCCTCCACAAATTATACCGACATCAAATACAGTGAAAGCAGGGGTTATATTGTTGGGGAGGGACATACAAAGCAACACTCAACATCATCTTATATGGTCATATGTACATAGCTTTTGACCTTTTCTACTTGTCCTAGATGTATACTAGTTATTGCAAATTAGGGAACCATGGGACCTATGTTTCACTTAATATAATTTTTTCCAAGTCTTTCCATTTCCTAACAAACGGGCCATGTCATTCTTTCTGATGGAGGCATAGAATTTATATATATATATATATATATATTACATTTTCTTGATACATTATCTACTGAGGGGCATCTAGGTTGGTTCCATATCTTAGCTATGGTGAATAATGCTGCAATAAACATAGTTGTGCTGGTAGCCTTATTATGATATTGTTTGTGATCATTTGGGTAAATGCCCCAAAATTGGATTGCTGTGTCATAGGGGAGCTCTATGTGGAGTCTTTTGAGGAGCCTCCATTCTACTTTCCAAAGTGGCTGAACAAGTTTACAGTGCAGTAGCATTCCCTTTTAGCCACATCCCCTCCAGCATCTGTTGTTATTAGATTTCTTCATTATAGCCATTCTAAGTAGGGTGAGATGGAATCTCAGTGTTGTTTTGATTTGCATTTCTTTTATGACTAGAGAAGTTGAGGATTTTTTCATGTGTCTATTGGCCATTTTTAGTTCCTCTTCAGAGAAGTTTCTCTTTAAGTCTTTAGCTCACTTATTTTATCAGGCCATTGTTTCTTTGAGGATTTGTTGTTGGGGGATTTAATTTTTTGACTTCTAAGTATGTTTTAGATATGAGACCCTTGTTAGTTGTATGGCTAATGAAGATCTTCCCAGTCCGTGGGCTTTCTATTGATCTTGCTAGCTATGTCCTTTGCATGCAGAATTTCTGCAGCTTCATGCAATCCCATTTGTCCAACCTTTCTTTGATTTGTTGTGTTTCTGGGTCTCTATTAAGAAATTTTTGGCCTGTGCTAAGGAGCCCTAGAGTTTCTCCCAATCCTCCCTGTAATGTTTTTGGGGTGTCTTAAGCAAACTATTTCTAATCACTGTTTCTTCATCTGCATACAAACATTATCTCTAAGACAGCTTCTGATATCAGACATTCTCTAAGTCTAATGTTCAGCCTCTTTTGTCTGCTGTATCTCCAGATGCTTATATAATGTTTCAAGTGACATCACTTGGATTTGCCAATTTTTTCTCCCTGTTTATCATCACCAGATACCATCCCCTGAGAGCTCCCCTGCTTCATGGATGTGGGTGGCCTCTCCCAGGAAGAAGAGACCATTCTACATCTGCTAGGAGCAGCAGGCTAACAACTGCTATAGGCCCAACCATTCTGTCCTGTTTTCTGTGTTTGATCATCTGAGGATATAAATGGTGAATTTGCTTTCTTTCCTTCACTCAGTTCATGTGCATTTCTTCCCACAGAAAGGAGAACCTGACTGCTATGCACTCTCCCTGGAGACAAGTGAGCAACTTACCTTCGAGATCCCCCTGAATGATTCAGGCTCTGCTGGCCTAGGAGTGAGTTTGAAAGGGAACAAATCCCGAGAGACTGGCACAGACCTGGGGATTTTTATTAAATCCATCATCCATGGAGGCGCAGCCTTCAAGGTGAGTAGGCATGTTCTCACAAGCCCAAGAGAGGGCTCTTGGGATTGGGACTGCTGTGCCACACATGGTTCCAGATGGAGATGATTTCTGTAGGCCCGAGCCCTCTGAAGCTCTCTTGGCAGGTGCAGGAAATATGTGGGCGAACAGATCTGAGGGTCAGGTTTCAGTTTTCATGTCGGGGTGGGCTTTTATTTCCTAGAGATAGTTCTACAAGCTCATCGTGATTAACATTCGTTTTTGCATCTTTTGTTTTTATTATTCCACTAAGATTTTCTCTCAGTCTGTAAGAGTTGAGCCTGAAAATTCACAAACAGAAAAAGAAATGTAAAACACAAATTGACATTATAGGCCACTCTGTGGGAAAATTTGCTTTAAGAATGAAAGCCCATAATGACTGTAGTGTAAATTGGAGGTCATTTGTCATATTTTATACACTTGAAGATAACCATATAACCACAATGCATATTTGCTATTGAGCACTTCGAGCAGTATATCTATTTCCAGGAAAAGGGAATCGTGAGCCTACCCTTTTACAATGGAGTAAGCCAGATGAATATAATTATTAACATAATATAACAGTTAATGGGATGTGTGTGTGTTCAAGTCCAGCTTCATCATTTGTTACCTATGTGACACCATGACCATTTTCTCATCTGCAGGGAGTAATACTTGCTTCATAGGAGCCTAATTTTGAAATAATACAATGTGGCAAATGGAAGAGGGAAATATGTTTGTACTCCATTCTTAAAATTTTCCAAGTAGGGGCTGGAAAGGTGGCTCAGTGATAGAGTGCTTGCCTTGCATGCATGAGGCCATGGGTTCGATTCATCAGCACCATATAAGCAGAAAAAGCCGGAAGTGGTGCTGTGGCTCAAGTGGTAGAGTACTCGCCTTGAAATGAAGAGCTGAGGGACAGCACCCAGGTCCAGAGTTCAGGCCCCACAACCATCAAAAAATAAAATAAAATAATCTGAGTATTGATAGTGTCTGCCCTTTCCTAAGTCCAGGCCCTGAAGTCCTACTTAGACTTTACAGGAATACCATGGGCTTGGTTGAAGTCTTTGTCTTCTCTTAAACTTACCACTGTTTTTCAACCTAGACATTGAGCTAATATCTTGCTTTTAGAAAATGAGAGGAATGCAATGTGGATAGACTATCCTTCAGTCTACTCCGTGGGTCAGTTAATGTTTTTCACATAGGTTGTAAAAATGAGGTAATCTATATCCACACTCATTTTTCCCCATGGCTCTTGCCACTCCTGGTGGTGGTGCTGGCTCTGATTCAGGCTGCTTGGTGTCATTATCACATTGTAGGTATACATGCTCGTCACCAAGCTAAGTACTTCATCTGGGTTTTCTAATTTTGTTTTTCATATTTGTGTCATTTAATCAAAGGAGAAATTGCACATGACATCAACACAACTTCTACAGAAGTCAGATACCAAGGAATTGTTTTATATGAAATTGGACTCCAGAGCCTGTGTTCCAACATTGCTGTGCACCAAGGGCTCTTTTATACTATCATCCATCATGCTCCTAGCAAGCAGAGCCTTTTGCCCCAGAATGGTCTTGTATCATGTTTGCCCTCCTTAGCTACACCAACTAAACACACCATATTTGAGGATGAATCTTCAGTCTTATTTGTGGATACAGACTTGATAATATTCTTCTTATTCCCAATGACAAGTCTATTTGCAGAATTTACTCCAAGTAAAATTGAAACTGAGATGACTTTTGGAAATTAAAAGCAAATATCTTTGCCTTTTTATGAGCAATAACTTAAGCTCCAGCAGATATTGGCGAGGGGCTAAATATGTATATCTATGTTTATGTAAGTGAGTGTCTCCTTACCTAAGCAGTTTCTAATGGTCCTGTTTCTTGCAGAAAGATTTCACTTTCCATTTATGTAAATTTCTTTCCTGACACTACTCTGCTGAGTCAGACAATCACACCATTAAAAACCACTGGACAGCATATTTATAGCTGATCTTAAACAGTAAGAAGCATCAATCATGAATTTAGCCTTGTTGTGAATGTTGAGTATCCATTTGTCTTGTTTACCTTTTGCAATGCAAAGGATAGAGGCCTAAGTTTTCCTCACAAGAAAACTGATTCACAGTGTTTATGTTTGGGTGTAGGGGAGGAGGAATAGGAGGGGTGACTGTCTTTCTTAGAGTTCAATAATCCACTGTTAACTCCTTAGAAAATTGCCACCTGTTCTATGATTCTGGATGATGTGTTACAAAAATTGTTTTGAGACTTTGTTCCTGTCCCTGTTGAGGAGATACAAATGTAACAGAGTGCAATACCCCCAGGGCTCAGGGGAGATAAGCCTTGGGAACATGCACCTTACCATCTGGCCCTAGTTTTTACCCAATATCAACAAAATAATCTTTCTACCAGAGCACAATTTTTTTTTCTCCTAACCTTTCATACCACTAATTGGTTCTCAAGGTGTTTTCCCTTAAGGGATAGTGGATTGTTGAACACTAAACTACTTTGAAAAGTATGACCAAATTCTTCCTGTGGAGTCAGCGTGGTATATTCTTCTGGGGCTCCCAGTGGTACAGCACAAGTAGGCTACCCTCCAGATATAAAACCCCCAAATGTCCTGAGTCTCACTGAGTGCTTGTCTTCCTTTCCTGCTTCCATCACAGGCCACTGCTTTCTGTCATTTCATCCTTATTTGAGCTATAACTAATGGAGATGTGGATTTTTATTTATAATTAAGAACTTCCAGGTGCTCTAGGTTCCCTTAGACACAACGGAGATCCTGACCTATTCTACAGGAAAATTGAACTAATTTTTATTAGAATTAGGCAAATGCTTAATATCTCTTAATATTTGACTTTCAGGTTGCATATGAAGAATGAGTACCCATAAACTTGCTTATATTTTTCATGCAACTTTAAACAGATATGACTCTTTGTGGACAGCTGTGAGCTATCTATGTGTGCCAGGCCATTTCAGGGACCAAGCATCATGACCATGAAAAACATAGTGCTCCTTTTCTTGGACTAAGGATGAGAATATGCTCACATAGTCACATCTGTTATGTACTTCTAGTTCTACTTACCTAAAATGGCCTCTAGAAACAAAATACATCAGATACATGTGTTAATTTTTCCACAGTGGAGAGCTATGACTGGATTGAAGTTTACATGTCCTTGAGGATGATTTTCTAAAATTTCACTTTTTGTGAAATGTGGTATTGTTGCTATTACATAAGAAAGAATTACTGTCTTCGTTCTGGTTAGGAAATTTCTTGAGAAAATATTACCCTTTCCTAGGTCCTTGTATTCGCACAAAAGTAACACAAATAAAGTCTCTGTGGACACTTTGAAGATCTTAGAATCTTTTATATTCATTTGATAAGCAGTTTGAATTCTTAAGTTCAGTGGTTTCTCTTTGTTTTGACTTATTGAGCTGACTTAGCAAAAATAATTTTATATGTATTGCTTGTTCTCATTTAAACTGCTTATTTTCCTAGATAAATCACTATTAAAAAACTAATAAGGCAGGAATAGTGATTTTAAATACTTAATTAAAAAAATTAATCCCCAACTTTAAGCTTTAAGTATTATAAAAGCATACAAAGAATAAAAATCCCAAGGTGCTTGGTATGCTAGCTCTAGGAGACATTTTGTATTCAAGAATACTGATTATAGGAGTAAAATGTATCTTATTGAAACCCTGAGATAATAAGATAAAAATTAAAGTTTGAAGGAAGTTTTTGCTAAGGGGAGACAATGTCACATATCAGGTAGATAGATTATTCAAGGACTCAGAAAGAATGAATTTAAGAATGTTCTGTAAAAAATTAATTAACCCTGTTTGTGCTTAATAAATACTACTTCATGATGATGAAATTAAATGAAAAAAAATGCCTGCTATGGCTAATTGCAAATGTATGCACTAAGAATATGAAATAGACATGATTTAAGTTATTTCATTCTTGTTTGCTTAGGAAATTTGGGATGATTCTTCTGAAAGATGCAGGTTTTCATAATTTATACTATTTAGCAGTAGATAAAAATAATTTTAACAAATACAGGAATTCTCAATATTTTAAATTATGGAACTGAATTGGAGTGGGGGGGAACACTCCTAGCTATAAATCTCCAAGAACAAGTCAGCTGATCGTGAATCTCGTGTTTTGTATTAGGGAGCATTTAACAGCATCCAAAACGCTGAACAGGAGTCTGGTTAGAGTTCCCAGTGTGAGCAATTTCCACCTCCATCTCTGCCACTATCTATAAATCATATGGTGTATCTATAATTAATGACTCTAGAAGAAGATAAAAGGGACAGCTTTTTAAGGAACACTAATGTTAAATGATTTCTTCAATTCTCCATTTTTCTTAAAATTGATAATGTTTTCTACTGATAGAGGAACTCTGAGGGTCTTAGCTGGTAGTCCAGTCTTCCATCAGAGGGAAAAGCTTGAATGATGCTAACAGCTTAGTTTGTGAATGGAGCCATTGCAAATCCTTACCTGAAAGAAGCCAAACATATTTCATTCCCAACCACAAAAATGTGATAGATTTTATAAGCAACTAAAAGTGGGAACTTTTTCTAGAAATTTATAATCACCCTGTAAAAATGTTACCTTTACAAAAAAGAAATCTAAATTAAATATAAGAAATATACAAATTTAATCAATTTCATTTTTATAAAAAAAATTCATTTTTATGAAAAGCCAATTTGTACAATTGGACTTATCATTTATGAATTTGTACAGTAGGAACAACTTTATAAAAATCCACTATTTCACTCACCAGGTACCAGTGGCTCATGCCTGTAATCCTTGCTCCTCAGGAGGCTGAGTCTAAGAATCACAGTCCAAAACCAGCCCAGGCAGAAAAGTCTGAGAATATTATCTCCAGTAAACAACCAAAAAGAAGAATCTGGAAGCTAAGCTCTGGCTCAAGTGATAGAGCCTTTGAATAAAAAGAAGCTCAGGGATAGCACCCAGACCCTGATATCAAGCCCCAGGATGGA